TTGCCTGATATGACCAACCCGTGAGCAGCCAGTTGTTTAGGGAGAGAAATATTGAAGTGCCCTGGTGATGTAGCCATGCCACCTGTCAGAGTAGACTGTTAATTAAGTATAGATTTCCAAATGCAAGTTATTTTATTTTATATGTAACTGTTTCCAAAACATACCTGATATCACATAAATCTCTGTGCTTGTTACATAAATGTAAATATGATTTCAATATACACCTACCTGAAATAATATAACCCAAGCTCAGAGTTAAGCAGTGCAGTGATCTGAGATGGAACAGGTTTGCTGGGGGTGAAAGCAGCGAGTCTGTGAACATTGAGACTGTGCAGTGGACCCAGAGCTGGTCTCTCCAGAGAGATATTCTGGGGGCTTGAGGGTTGCAATGCACCAACCACTAACTAATATAGGATGACAGCAGGGTCTATGAGGCCTCAAAGGGGATGCCTGAGTGACCACTGGCTAGGGACCTACCAAAGTCATGGTCCATTATGGTCAATTTCACAGTCAGAGGATTTTAAAAAATATAAATTCCATTAATTTCAGGTCTTTAAATTTGAAATATCAGAGTGTTCTAACTGTAGGGGTCCTAACCCAAAAAGGAGTTGGGGGGCATGGTTATTTTATGGGACATTGCAGGACTTCTACCCTCACTTCTAGTAGCTGGGCAGCTAAAGAGCAGTGGCCTTTAGCAGGAGTCCAAATGTGAAGGCAGAGCCACTCAGCAGCATTGCCCAAGTCAGGCTGGCGTGGTATGGTACTGCCACCCTTCTGAGCTGCTGTCAGGGTGCTGCACTCAAGCTGGGTGCTCGGCCAACAGCCAACACAATCTGCTACTCAGCTCTGAAGTCAGAATAGATGCAATGGTGGGAATATCATGATTCCCCCCCCCTAAAATAACCTTGTGTGCCCTTTGCAACTTCTTTTTGAGTCACTATCCCTGGTGCCTAAACCATTCTTTGCAAAAAACACAATGATTAGACAGATGTTAGTACTACCGTCCACCTTAAAACTTTTAGCCCAGTGGGTAACAGCATTCATCTGGGATGTAGAAACTTTGGTTCAATTCATCCCTCTACTTATTGGGGAGAAAAAAATTAAATGGTGGTCCCTCACTTCTCAGGGAGTGTGTGCTAACAAGCAGGGTATGAAATAATACTGCCAAAGCTTCATTTGAAGAGGGTGCCACTAAGTATAAGTAAAGAGTCAGAGAAATGGGACTTGGGGTCTCCCATTTCCCAAGTAAGTGCTCTAACCACGATGCTAACAATTATAAAAGAGGCATCACATGCTCTTCCTTTGCCTGGATGTTAAATGGGACCTGATCTGGTAGGTACGCTCTGGCTCCACAGGCAAGACAAGCCTGCAGGTTTCCAGATCACTCTGGCGTGAGGCAGCAAGCCCAGATACACACATTTAGGGCTCCAGGAAATATTTACAGTGCAAATTTAGATGCCAAATGAGTTTAGACATCTACAAAATTATACAGGAGCAGAGAAAAAATTTGGTGAATTATAGTGGCACCTAAATCCCTTTACGCAGCTGGGCTAAGGTGACTGTCCCAAGTTCACAGTCATTTGGTGACAGCCTGGAATAGAACTCAGGTCTCCACACTTAGGCTAAGGACGTTAAATATTAATTGACTAGCCGAGTAACCTCATGAATTCTTATCACGTAGTAAACTATGCTATAGTCTCTGGGGGTGGGGCCAGCAGCCAGTACACTCAGGCCCCACTCCTGAGGAGTCCCCTGCAACTCTGTGCTGCTGCTTCTGTATCAGAGGCAGCAGCATGGGGTACCAGGCAGGAGCTGATATGCAAAGGAAGCCAGTTTAAAAACCAGTTCTCCTCGCAGACCGGCTATTGCCCTGTGGTGCTGCCTCTGATAAAGAGGCAACAGCATGGGGTGGCAACAGCCCATGTCTGGGGCAAAGGCATCTGAGCTCCTGGAACCAGCATGAGCTGGAGCTGGGCTGCCTGCCTGCCATGCTCCGAATACATGTTAAATGTAGAACTGCAGCAGAGAGAGGTCCTGGACCCACTGCAAGCCAGGACTGAGCCTTTGCTGCTGGCCAGCCTGCTGAAAAATTTGCTGGTGGGGGAGGAGAATGAAATGTGTGTAGTCTACAGCATTAACTGATAAGCTTTTGGTTATTGGTTAATCAACTACACCATTACATCCCCAGCTCAGGCTGCTACTCCAATCCACTGAGCATGCTGCTTCCCCTTCAGTGTACCCCTACCTGATCTCTGATCACAAGCACAAAGTTCAACTGAGACTTGTACTTAAAATATTAATGTATTTTAAGAATGTGGACTCAGAGGTTTCAGAAAAGATGACACTAGTTAGAATACAGAGATCAATACAGGGAAAACTGGGTGAAATTTAATGACCTATGATATACAGGAGCTCTGACTAGATGATCTAATGATCCCTTCTGGCCTTGAACTCTATAAAAAATACTAAAATTAATAGCAGTGGCTGGCGCTTAGCATATTTGATAATTAAAGCACCTATTTAAATGCTTAAATATGACCTTAGGAGTCAAACTTTTGGCATCTTTTGGAACAAATCTTAGCCAGAAAGTTTATACAACTATACTCAATAAAGTTAAATTTCCTATTCTCCCCTCTCCCTTCAATGACAGCAGGTTTGGCAGCTTCTTCTATATGCTCACAAGGCTGGTACTTGATATCAAATTTTCTGCAATTGGTAAGGTGAAATCACTTTGGGTTGCAATGCCAAGTATGCCTCAAAATTTGATTTGAAAAGTGTTTAGTTGTGCATTATCCCCAGCCCCTCTGGATTTTTTTTCTCTTCATCAATTCCATTTTCCTCTCAATTAAAAAAAAAACACAAGTAAGCAAAAACTGTAATGATACAAAACTACAAAACATTATCGTGACATTAAGGCTCAGACTTTATATCAGCAGGCATTAAAAAAAAAAAGCTATACAACTTTGCTGCATTGCACCTAAAATTCATGTTGCAATACTTCCTCAACACACTGTTTTCAGTTACTTGTAATATTAACCAAACTTTCACCATTCCAGCTGATATATTCCATGCTGTGTGTTGGCCTCAGAATGAATTTTTTTGGAAAGTTTCAGCAAAAGTGTGTTGGCAGTTTTTGAGAAAGAGATTAGACATTTTTTTCTGTGTGTTAAATTCACTATGATATTTTTTTCAAGAATCTGTAGTGCCTCCTTTCTTTGGAGCAGGGACTTGAAATTCAGTAGGATTATCATCTTGGTATCAAGCATATGCCTTCTGCTATATCTGGGGGGAAATGCCCAAATTTGGCAAGCTTTGTAAAAATGGAAGTTACTTCTCTATAACCAGAGTTCTTCTAGATGGACTGCATATTCACATTCATGGGATGCTCTCTCATAGGTGCAGAATGAATGGTAGAACTCTAGCTAGCAGTGCCTGCTGGATACTCACACAGCTCCCTCATCCTTCTTCTCAGCAACTGTTGAATATTCCACAGCAAGGGTGCAAAAGGAGCATGGCACTCCCACCATCTTAGTTCCTCCCAACGTGACCCCAACAAGAAAAACTCTCAGACTGTAGGAAAAGGTGAGTGGGGAGTGTGATTCTGCAGAGTTTACACCAGAGAATTCCAGTTACAGGTAAGTAACCTATACTGCTTCTGTGAGTGTCCTCTGCACATTCTGAACACACAGGATAGACTATCAAGCTGTAACTCAGACTCTGGTAGTGGGAGCCTGGTGTACTAATTAAATAATGACTTCAGGTCTGCCTTGCCAAGTTTTACATTTGACCTTGACTTCAAGTCTAATGAGTAGTGCTTAATAAATAGTCAATGGGAATATGAAAGTCCATGGACAAATTAATGATAGAAAGGTAAGGTAGGTATCATTTGATTCATAAAAATCTACAAAATTATAATTTCAGTGGTGACATCCTTGGCATGTGCAGGGGGGATTTTGTGTCTCCCTCAGCTCCCAGCTCTAGGTCCTACAGTTGATGGGCATCTGGATAATGTAATTTCATTGGAAATGAGCTGAGTATCATTCAAAAGTTCTCCCACAAACACAATAGTACCAAACATGACAAACCTAGACAATTAGATAGATATTTGAGAAAAGATTTAAAAAAATCAACTTTCTTCATTATACTTTAAAAACACAGACACATCAACTATGCAGACCTCACATAGTAAAATTGTGGCCCTCCACCGACAGTACTAAGTCATCAAGCAATGCTCTGAACATGATATCAGCTATATATATTTTTTTAACATTACAGGTTACTATAAATGGAAATAGTGCTTCAAATTGATTTGCTATCATCAGCAAAAAAGAAGCTTTTAGGGGGCACTAATTCTCATCTTTATTATGCCAAAAGAGTTGTAATGAGGTACTGGTTAAGATGCTAACACGCAGCCAGAAATCACTAGAATCCATCTCTAAAGACTAAACACCTAGTTTCAGAACACAATTATAATCCCAAAGTAATTCATTGCCAAATACTTGTTTTTGTGTTTGTCTTGATCTTATTTAGCCATCAGTGGGGAAACAAAGCACAATTGAAAAGCCAAATCTTTGGAGAATACCACATTAGACACATAATGCTCAGTGGCATTTTATAGGCCTTAAGAAGTGCACCCATAAGCTGAATTTGGCGGTGTGAGAGAATTTTATTAAACATCCGAAAAAAGTTGAAGATGCCGGACAAATATCACCTATGGGCGAGACTCACCTTATATTAGATCACATGTCTTGCATTTCTAAAACATCACCTACTTCTTCAGTAAGCTGGAAGCCCAAAGGCATCCATTAAGCACAGTTTCAACACATCAGACAGATGAAAAAAATGTCTGAAGTCATCATTCTTAGCAAGAGCATTGCATGGAGATTAAAGTTAAGTGAGTGCATTGACCCAAAAGACACCTCTGCATACAATACTACATATCATAGTGAGTGCCATACAAAGAATGTACATAATGTGTTGTGTCAAAAG